GCAGGAGGAATCTGGCGCCTAGGCCTGGGCTGGGATTATGGGAGCTGAAGCCTGGTTAGGAGAGGTCAGAACCAGGCTTGACGTGCCCATTTGCATCTAGATATAGAGAGTGGGGCCTGGGGAACTTGGCACTGCAAGCTGGAGCCCTACCCCTTAGAGATCCCTGGGGTGTGGTGAGATTAGAGAGAAGAGGGTGCAGTTACCCCTTGCCTGTGACTGGCAGCCATGTGTGGACCCCACGAGAGACGGAGCTCTCCAGTCAGGCCTGTTCTAGAGTTTGGGGGGCAAGATCTTCTTTGTGTTTCCTCTAAGAATTTGATTATCTTCTGGAATCTTATGTGGGCCTGTAGGGATTCTTAAGCTCTCTGGTTAATTCCCTAGAATCAAGCCTATGGCTGGGTTGTCCAGAGCATTCCTCCAGGGCTCCGTCTTCTTTGCTTGCCTCGTCCTCGTCCCCGTCCCATCGTCCTGACTTCCCATAAGGCTTGGCCAACACAGGAGGTTATTGTGGGTTCAGGGATATCCTTGGGTGGGGACTGAACGGTCCCAGCGTAAGAAGGCAGCACTGTTCCTCAGCTTTGGGGACGAGTTCAGGCCTCCCTTTAGACCTTAGTTTTTGAGCACCTGCTTTGTCCCAGGCCTTGGGTTGGGTGCTAGGGACACAGGTAAATAAGATGTATACTAGTGGGCTTCCCTGGTGGCGCAGTGGTTGAGAGTCCACCTGCCGATGCAGGGGACACGGGTTCGTGCCCCGGTCCGGGAAGATCCCACATGCCGCGGAGCGGCTAGGCCCGTGAGCCATGGCCGCTAAGCCTGCGTGTCCGGAGCCTGTGCTCCGCAACGGGAGAGGCCACAACAGTGAGAGGCCCGCGTACCGCCAAAAAAAAAAAAAAAAAAAAAAAAAGATGTATACTAGTGAGATACAGGAGGTATTTTAAGAGGACAAAGGAGAGGTGGATAACTCATCTTGGTAGTGTGGTGGGGAGTTGGTTTTAGGAAACTGTTAGGAAGTGAGACCTGCTGTTGAGAAAGCAGGGAAGGGCATTCCAGGTGGTGGGAGTAGCATGGGCTAAAGCTTAGAAGGGAGAAATGAAGTGGTTCAGTGTGGGGCAGGCATTGGGGTGAGTGAGGGAGCTGGAGGGGTGAACAGAGGCCAGATCAGGCAGGGCCTAGAAGTTTGAACTTTATCCTGAGAGTGATAGGGAGCCTTAAGAGGTTGTAAAAGGGAAGTGACTAATCTGGTCCAGGCCACTCTCCTGGGCTGTGGTCCCACACTTCTGCTGGCCTCTGTGTGTATTATTCACTACTGTATTCCTAGTGCCCAGCACATGGTGGGGGCTTGGCAAATTTTTCTTGCCCTTCTGCCATCTTCTCAAACTCATGTTTCCAAAACTGATCTAATTTCTCCTCCTTTCCTTTTCTCCTTCTTTCTGTCAGCCACTTCTGTCTTGACCTGTGCCCTCTATCTCCTTACCTTTGCTGTGTGGCGCATGTGTTCCTCCTGTGGTGTCCAGCTGCCAGTCTGCCCTGAAGGGCTGCCCTTTGGCTTGTGGGTAACATCTCGCACCCAAATGGCTTATTAGGGGAAGTTCTCCAAATATCTGGGGCACAGTTCTCCTTGAATGCTTCCTCTTCTCAGCTCCAAGATTTGAAAGTAAGTGAAAGCAGATAAAAGAATGAAAACAACAAGAAGGAAAGAAAAGGAGCAGATTGTACAGAGGAAAGGATTCAGTTGAATCCACCCGCTAGGACCAAGTGTGGCTCAGTATCTCAACTGAAGTGGTTCAGATCTGCTAACAGTCTTCCTTCTGTTCTTCTTCCTCCTTCTAAATTATTTTATTTGTATTTCAAATAGGTAATATATGCACCCGGTACAACATTCGAAAGGTACAAAAGGCATCAGTGAAAAGTAAGTCTTCCTCTTCCCGTTGTCCCCTTTCAGTCCCCACGTTTCCTCTCCAGAGCTGATTAGTAACTAGTTGTTACCTAGTTCCTTATATTACTCTTTCCTTCTTGAAACATTTTCTCCTCTTGCCCTTTGTGACTTTACAGAACTGTCCAGTTTTCCTCCTGCCCACCGCCCACTCCTCTGTCTCCTTTCCTGGCTTCTCCTCTGCTTGATCTCTTCACGTGTCGTACCCCAAAGCTTGGTCCTGGGACAACTCCTTTTTATTTCTTCATTCTCTTGCTAGGTGTCTCCAGCACAACAGTTTTAAATACCACCTATAAGTTCATGTCTTCCAGGAGTATTAAGTGAGTCCAAATTTCTTTGAATCTCAGACTTTATCTCCAGTGGCTTACTTGACATCTCTGATTGGATGTCTAAGACCAGTCTCAAACTTAGCAAGTACATATCCAAACAAAGCCTCAAGTCAAAATCTCTTTAATTCCTATTTCACTTCTCCCAGTCTAAGCCTCTTTGTTCTCTAATCTTTTTCTCAGTAAATGGCACTGCTATTCACCAGTTGCTCAAGCTCCAAATTTAGGTGTCATACTTGATTCTTCTTTTTCCCTTATTTCCCCACAACTAATCCATAAAGAAAAAGTATTGTTGACTCTACTTCTAAAGGATGCCCTGGATGCATCTACTTCTGTTTCCACTCTTGGCACACCTTCCCTTAGCCGTCTGCTGAGCCACCACAGTAATCTCCTAAGTGGTCTCCCTGCTTCCACTCTTGCCCCCTGCCGTCTCTCCAGTGCTCATCTACTTCCATGTTGATTGGTGGTAGCTAACTGTGGGCCGGGGCTGTGCCGAGTGCTGGAGTATTCCCACAGAGAAGGCCAAGATCTTTGGGCATCTTCAGTCTGCAGGCCTCACCCAGAGGCTCAGGCCTTACTAAAGAAACTCAGCCTACCTATACTAGGACAGTCTAGGAATCAATCTAAGGCCTTCCACTCCAGCTTCTTTCAGATTGCTTCTCACTCCACTTCTCACTTTTGGCCCTCCTGGTCCCTCAAGCTGCCTTGCTTTGGCTCTGTTCCTTCCAAGACCACTGATGTTGACTGAGTTTGGATTTTCTCGCTTGGCTTCTGCCTTGGCAGCTCTTGAGGACCTGACTTCTGGTTCCCTTCCTGTGGTTCCATTACAGGATGAAGGTCCCTGCTGCACCTTCCCTAGTCTCCACTGACTGAATGCTCCCGTGCACAATAAGGGAGGTGTTAGACATGAACATTATACAGTTTAAGGAAGGAGCACATCTTAAATAGAAAGGTCATGTCCACTGATCATTTAGTTAGGGCAACAGCAAGCAAAACATGGAAGAAAGTGTTTCTTCCCTCTGGACTCTATAGTAAGTACAGGGGCCGTCTCCCAAGTGTGAGTCCCCACCCTCAGGGCTTATTCACCACAAGATTATTGTGGTGGTGATTCCTACGTTAGGAAGTGGGGTTGATGAAATAACTTGTGAGAGTATTTCTGGTCCTTAGGGCTTGACACGAAAGATGAGGGACATCTGCTTTGGATATCAGAGATGGAGGTCTCTGAGCAACGAGGTGGGTTCAGGAGCTCTCTGAAGGGACCTCTTTTTGACACCTGTTCTTTAACTCAACAGATATTTTCTAGCACCTAGTATGTGCCAGGTGGTGTGCTAGGTATTGGGGGTGCAGTGATGCAAAAGGTACAGGAAAATTCCAGGCAGAGGGTAAGGAGATATTCCAGCCTGGCATCCATCAAGGCCCCCTTCCAACCTTGTGGAGCTTTGCTAGAAGTCAGCAAACAAACAAACAGACAAAACAAAACAAAAAAAAGTCAGCAAACAAGCCTTGGCTGGCTTTTTCCGTGGCTTGGAACTCAGTGGGATGTCAAAGCCTGGAATTCTTGTCCCAGGTCAAGGCTAATGGTATGTCTCGGTCAGAATAACCACATAAGTGAACAGTGGCCTCTAGTTTATTGGCCTTTGTCCAGAAGATGAGAGAAGCCTAATCAGGAGCCCCCCTCCCCTGAACTGCTAGGATCGAGGGCCCAGAGAGCTGCAAATGCCACAGAAGAGGAGCCGGAATTAATGGGCCCATCCTCACTGGAGATGCTGCAGGGCCAGAGTGGTGTCCCCCCAAGTAGAGAAGTGTTAGGGATTTTATCCAGAAGAGTAGCTCGGGGAGATGTGGCGGTTCTCCTCCAGTGGCAGAGGAAACCCAGACTGAGGCAGAAGAAGCAGATGTATCTGTGGGCCCCTGAGGCAGAGCGGTGGTCGGGGGACAGAAGATAGGCTTTGGCTTCATACAGGTCAGAGCTGCCCCCAGCGGGGTTGATTCGCGTATTCATTCATTTATTCAGCAAATATTCATCTGTGAGGGGTGCACTTTACTTTAGGCTCTGTGTCTGGGGGAACAAAATAAGACCAGGTTCCTTTTCTCAAGTTACCTGTAGTCTGGAGGTCCCTTGGGAGGCAGAGTGGCTCTTCCCTGGGGGTATTAAAGCAGAGGCTGGACAAGCACTTGGGAGGGGCAGGTGGAGAATAAAGGAAATTAAAGATTTGGTTGGGGGAAGCGGGGAGGTTTGGACTGGAAGCCTCTAAGGGGCTTTCTAGTGCCCTTGGAGTGCTAGTGTTCTACGTTCCTGAGGGCTTGGTGGGGGAATGAGGTGGTTTGAAATTACCTTGAGGGGCTGTCCAGGAATGCTCAGGAGGAGGGGTTACTGGAGGAGGGGCAGGGAAGGCCTGACTGTCAGGAGGGGCCCAGTTTTGAGTCCCTAAACCTCAGCCAATGCTGAGGATCCCAGCAGATCCTGCAGACCTAGGAGGGACCGAGAGCTTAGAGGACTGCGGTCACAGCCCCAGAAGCAGGAGGGCCAGAGGAGGTTTGTCCTCTGCCTCAGCAGGCTGTTCGCCGCCTTTTAGTAGCACCTCGCTGTCTCCCCTCCTGCCACCCCTGCTTGTGTCTCAGGGTCTCCAGGATGAGTGTCAGTACCTCCTTCAGCCGCAGCTGATTGTCCGGCGTTTGTTGGACGTGGCTGTGCTGGTGCCTGGGCGACCCTCTGAGCAGACCCTCTCCCTCCACAATCGCTCAGCCCTGTACAAGTAAGTCAAATACTGCCCCACACCGGGCCCTTCCCATGTTCCTTCCCCGGCCTTAGCCTACCTGCTGATCTTCCTCTCCCTCTGGCCAGCCTGGACTGCTGAGCTACCCAGAGCCCCAGGGCGGCTCCCACCCCCTGCCTCCCCCTCTCCCAGCACAGAGGGGAAGACCCAAAAAGGCCTCCGGTTTTTCTGTCCCCTACTCCTCCCTTCTTCCCAGTGTCTCCCTCATCCTGTGTCCCTCTCACCTCTCTGTACCCTGTCTTTTCTCACCTCCAACCTCCCCTCTGCCCAGGGTCTTTGTGCCCAGCTTCACTTACAGGGTTTCAGCGCAGCTGGTGTGCGTGGGGGGCCGCGGGGCATCCGCCTGCCCCCTGACGCTGCGCCTACGTCCCAAGGCCCCGCCCCTGCACAACTCAAGCTCTGTGGCCTGTGGAGGTGCCTCGGTATGCCAGCTGGAGCTGGCACTGCCCCCGTGGGGGCACTGGGTCTACGTGCGTGTGGAGACACCATCCCGGGGCCCTGGCAGGACCGTCTGCTTCCAGCTGTGTGTGCGGTTGCAAGGTCAGAAGCCCCACACCTGCGCCAGCCACCCAGCTTGTGCCGACTTCTGTGGCTGGGAGGAGGCAGGCATAGTGGCTGTGTTCACTGGTCCTCGGCCACGTGCCTACGACCTCCCCAGCCTAGCCCAGGCTCCTTTACTCGCCAAAGCCCTCCCACTTGGAGCTTCAAGTCATTGGGAGACCATCAGATCTTTTCTTGGTACCTGACTTGGGGCTCACTAAGGGACCTCATTACTCTCCTTGATTTAATCTCAGTGTCCTGGACTAGGCAGGGGACAGCTAGGACTTCTGGGACATGGTCCTTGCCAAAGCCCTTGCAAGTCAGTGAGAGGGTCCATCACCTGTTTCAGCAGTGTCCTCACTGCCCTTGGGGTGGGAGAGATGACCTTGAGTCCCTCAAGGGGACTCAACATGACATTCCATTAGCTGTGACCACTAGGAAGCCCCTGGCCCCTGTCCTGTGACCTTAGATGCCAGACGCCAAAGGGACGTTCGATTCCAGTTCTTAGCCTCCCCACCCTTTGTTATACCCTACGGAGCTTAGATCTGGTATGTGGTGGGGCTGCAGGGCTGTGAGGGCGGCAGGCCCCAGCTCTGATTTCCTCTGCCCCACAGAGTGCCCACAGCCCAGCCTGTCCCGTGCCCTGGTCCCCGGAGCTGCCATGAACATGCCCCAGTCACTGGGCAACCAGCCACTGCCCCCAGAGCTGTCATCCCTCGGGGCCCCTGCCGAGGGGCCTGGGGCCACATCCCCACCTGAGCACTGCTGGCCAGTGCGCCCGACGCTGCGCAATGAGCTGGACACCTTCTCCGTCCACTTCTACGTCTTCTTTGGCCCCAGCGTGGCCCTCCCCCCTGAACGCCCAGCCGTGTTTGCCCTGAGGCTGCTGCCAGTGCTGGACAGTGGAGGTGTCCTCAGCCTGGAGCTCCAGCTCAACGTGGTACTATTTGTGGAGAGCGGGGAGGTCGCCCTTTGGGGGAACCCGAAAGGGAAGGTGTCGGGGTGAAGGGGCCCTTACCTCCAGAAAGCCTGTCTAGGTTGCTCTCACCTTTCATGGTTAGAGACCATGCCTCAGCCCAATTCTGGTCAACAAACATGCCCTGAGTATTTACTACACATGGGCTGGGCCAGTCAGGGGAGCTGAGCGGTCTGGATTTTCCCAGTTTTATAGGCTTACCTGCCCCTCACTAAGGGCCTCTCTCTATGGCAGGTGTTTACTTTTTCTCGCATATCTCCTGTGATGGGGAGCTCACCACCTTTTAAGGCCACTCTGATTGCTAGAGGCATCCTTGGCATTCCATCAAAGTCTGCCTCCATGGATTTTTACCCACTGACCTTTGTTTTGCCCCAGAAGCTATATCCAGTAGTCTACCCCGTCCTTTTTTTTTTTTTTTTTTTAAATAGACATTTTTCAGAGCAGTTTTAGGCTTACAGAAAATTGAGGAAAGTACAGAGAGTTCCCCTCTTTCCCCACACAGTGTCCTCTGTTACTCACGTCTTGCATTGGTGTGGTACATTTGTTGCATCCCTATCCAATTTTAACAGCTCTTTGGATGCCTTTCAGCCTCGCCAAAACTGAACAGCCTCAGCCTCTTAGACTTCTCATCCTCTGCTGTCTCCTCTGGTCATACTTCTGGTCATCATGCCTCTGAAATAAGTGATCCAAGGTGGTCTGACCTGGGTGGCAGGCAGCATTTGTGCAGCCTGAGATCAAGTTACCTCTTTCAGCTGCTGCCTCACACTGTGGGATCACCTGAGGCTTGTGGTGGACTAAGACCTCTGGATCTTTTTCCTTTTCTTCCTTTTTTTGCTTCAAAACAATTGTATACATTTACTTTTTTATTATAAAAATAATAGGTTCACATATAAAGGCTTTGGAAAATAGAGGAAGACACCTCCATAACACAACTGCTTAGCTTTTTGGTATATGTCCTCCTAGTCCTTATCCACATTAACTGATGTGTTTATCTAGTTGTAACCAAGGACCATGCACATTTTCATGCCCTGAGCTTGGTTCATGTGAACCGCTGCCAATTCCTATCTCATATTTTTGCAGCACACTTTTTAACCTGAGTGGAAGAATTTATGTCCATCTTTGAGACATTGCCTAACACTGGTTTGGACCTTGCATCTTCACTACTTTGTGTAATTCACACACTTGAAAAGCTGGCCTTCTAAACCTCTTAGTCATTATTTTCAGCGCTGAACAAGACTGGGCCAAGGGCAGAGCCCTGTGTCAGGCCATTGGCAACTGTCTTGGGTTGGCGTTGATCTAATTATTTATCTACTGTTCCCTCAGCCAAAAATCCTTTTAACTTTACTATCCCTCAGCTCTGGGGCAGGGATCATTTTCCTATCACCCACCTGAGACATGGTCTGTGTCTATGGGACATGGCGCAGAACTTTCTAGTGATCCTCCTGGTCAGGACAGAGCTGACTCTTCAACCCCAAGATGTTCCTTATTTTCATACTCAAATTCTCTGACTGTGTTCTGGCTAAGACTGTATGTGTTTTGTGTTTGCTTATTGCCATGCCTTTGGGCAATGACAGTGAAGTCTTGATTTGACCTTGAAACTATAGAGCCTGTGTCAGAGACCGGCCCCACCCATACTGACTCTTCCTTAGTATCCTGAGAAGAGAGGCCCACCTCCCCTGCTGCTTTGCCCTGTCTTTCTCTGCATTCTTGTCTATTTTCTCTAAAAGGCATCTGCTTACATTCCAGCCATCTGCATGCTATGACACTGCTGCACACCTCAGACAGCCTGTTCTATTTATTCTGAAAGGTATATTGGCACACCTACTCTGATCTTTTCCTCAGGTATTTTGATGTTTTCCCTTGGATCAAAACTGGACATTTGGCTCAGAGAACTGCATACCTAGAGAACATTTTTTCTTTGGCTCCCACCAGAATGGCTTTTGCTGAAAAATACTTTGGCATATAGCCCTGGGCTTGCATTGAGGGAAATTATGAACAAGTTGTATGAAATTCACTCTTGCAGCTAAGGATAGGAGGTGGGGCAGCACACAGTGCTTCTTGGATGTGAATTTAACAGAACCACCCTTTTGGGTGCAGTGCTTCTCCTGAGACTCTAACTTTTATCTTGTGGACTCACAAATGTGGTAACTCACGTTTCCTTCCTTGCTTTGGTTGCTTGGAAGTCAGCAAATATATGGCCCACATCTAGGGACAGATTTGTAAATTTCCCCTCATGTATTTATTTTATCCTGTTATATGTATTTAATAAGCTGCCTCAAATCCTTCTTGAATAAGGTGAGCTTATGGCATCCTGTTACCTTTATTCTTGTAGACAACCCTTTCCCTTTACTCCTGTGGATATCCAGTTTCTTTTAATCCCAGCCAGTTTGCTACATTTAATCCCGTAGGTGTTCTATTACCACTGCTCAGTACCTAGAATTATTTCACCTGAGGAAGAGTGCATTTCTTTACGTGCCTCCCACCTTCAAGGCCCAGGTGAAGATGTGAAGATGACTGACGAACCTTACAATCACCTTTGTTTACAACTAGTGTCTACATCCAGCAACAGTGCTCTTCCCCTTCCCCCCATCAAGCTAGATAGGACTGCAAAAGTGGGTGTTGTCTCTTGCCTAGACAGAATTCAAACAATTCTTCCCAAAGAAAGGAGTCAGAAGTGGCCTTGCCTTCTCATCAGTCTTTGAAAGATCTCTGCTGTGGAAGATCTAGTGTTTCCGTTTTTCTGTTGTAAGAACGAGGAGGTGAGGGCTGGGGAGGGTGCTCCCGTGTGGAGAGCACCTGCAGGAACGGGGTGTCCAGTGAGGGCCTGGAGGGGTTTCTGGGGAGGGGTTAAGAGGTGGAGGAGTCTGGCGGGGGTGCTGGTGGGAGGACTTAAGAGTGTGTGGTCGCCTCATCTTTATACCCGCCCTGCCCAGAGCTCCCTGCGCCAGGAAAATGTGACAGTGTTCGGATGCCTGACTCACGAGGTGCCCTTGAGCCTGGGGGATGCAGCAATGACTTGTTCCAAAGGTGGAGTGAGGAACCGGGGAAGGAGGGGGGGCTGGAAGTCGGGGGCAGGGGGGTGGGTATGGAGGAAGGATGGGCTAGGGCGTCTGGGAACTGAGGGCAGGCGGGTGAGGGTTCTTTAGGTCCTGACCCCACACTGACTCCTCCCTTCTCCCCTCAGAGTCCCTGGCCGGCTTCCTCCTCACGGTCAGTGCCACCTCCCGAGTGGCCAGGCTGCGAATCCCGTTCCCGCAGACGGGGACCTGGTTCCTGACACTGCGCTCCCTCTGCGGGGTGGGGCCTCGGTGAGCGGGGCGGGGCGCGGCGGGGCGGGGCGCGGCTGCGCCCGGGCCCGGTTGATTGGCAGTTTGTGCGCAGGTTCCTGAGGTGCCGGAACGCGACGGCCGAGGTGCGGTTGCGCACTTTCCTGTCCCCGTGCGTGGACGACTGCGGGCCCTACGGCCAGTGCAAGCTGCTGCGCACGCACAACTACCTGTACGCGGCCTGCGAGTGCAAGGCCGGTGAGCCGGCTGGGCTGGCGAGGGACCCCACCCGGGGCGGTCGGAAGGGAGGCGGCAGCCTGAGGAGCCGGGTTTGAGGGGGGGCGGGCGGAGTCAGGGTGGGACCAGCCTCCTCTGGCCTTGGCGTCGGGCTTGAGCAGAGACCGCCAGCGGAAGTGTCCGCTGAAGCCCGGGCTGCCTTCTCACCTCTTCCACCCTGTGCCCCTCCCATCCGCAGGATGGCGGGGATGGGGCTGCACCGACAGTGCGGATGCGCTCACCTACGGATTCCAGCTTCTGTCCACGTTACTGCTCTGCCTGAGCAACCTCATGTTTTTGCCCCCCGTGGTCCTGGCCATTCGGAGCCGATATGTGCTGGAAGCGGCTGTCTACACCTTCACCATGTTCTTCTCCACGGTATGCGGTGGCGTCTGTGTCTTTCACCGAGTCTATCCGTGGTGGTGGGTTAGAGTCTACATTTCCACCACGGGGTTTGGGGATGTCTACACCTTCATGGTATGAGAATGTCTCCTCTTCACTGTACAGCAGTGCTTCCTGACCGCTTCGTATCATGGCACGCGAACGTGATAATTTTTATAAGGCACATTGGGATATATGAGCAAGGCTGTTTGCGACTTAAGATAACAGTCACTGGAGACAGTGTGGGGTCTCCAGCGACCCACACCCTGCCTGTCCACTCTAAGGGCTGAGGGGACCTTTACCTCAACACACTGGCTGAGAAACTCTGACCTACAGTTTGGAATTGTGGCTGCACAATTCCCCTGAGATGCTACATCTAGGGATCTTTCCATCTCATCCCTGGGCTCTTGGTATCTTGTGATGTACAGTGCCTGCCTATGAGCACTGCAAACATCTTAGATGGATTCAGACTTTTCCACATGTCTTAGCAACAAGGATATCACAAAACCAATACATGCCTCTCTGTGGTCCAGTATTAATAGATCAGACATATATCCAAATTACAAAAATGCTACTTATCATCTAGGAGAAAGTGTGGGGCAAATGTCCTGAAACTGAGTCATGTTCTAGGGTCCTGGTTGTTTCTCCACAGGTGAGGAACAGTGGGCTGTAACCGAGCCATGTAGCAGGACCTTGGCCACTTAAGCTGCATGAGAACAGCACACCTCAGTTTTGTTTGACTGGTCCCCTTTTTAGACCTGCTCTGACAATGCCCCACTCTGTTTTTATATTCAACATTGTTTCTCTCTCTCTCTTTTTTTTAGTTCCCAGATCCTTTTTATATTGTTGCTCACCAAATCCTCTAGCAACAGCTCTTTCACCAGCGCGCTCTTGGTTATGTGCAGATCTAATGTGGTTCGCAATTAGTAAGAACACCTAAGTGTGTCAGGAGCCTGGAGCGTGTGAGGAGAGCGTATCCATTCTCCTGCACTTCACAAAGCATCCTGGGCATTGGCTTCAGGGTATTCAGTATCAGATGACTTCTTATCTTCTGGATTTGATGGCATATCATCCTGAAAAGAAAAGACCTTCCCCTAGTAGGAACACTGGGGGAGTCGAAAGTGCCTGGCACCACATACAGTGCTTCCACTTTCTTAAATAAGGCAGTAAGCAAATGATCAAGGAGAAGATACTGGCTCTGAGGTGTTGCCTAAAGTCCTGCTCTAACTCCTGTTCTTTTTCCACACGTGCCAAAGTGTAGAGCTACTTGTGATTCATTTTTCACAGGCAGGTTTCCTGTTGTCACTCTTTC